TTTTAGTTTCAGTTTCCAGCCTAGGCTACTTCTAGTTTCAGTTTCCAAAACAGTCCTCATTGGCTAACTTAGTGGCTATGCCTATACATTGGCTGACCTTGTTACCACTCTATTCCAGTTCATGAATATATTCTGACAGATTGTTGGTCTGATGTTAATCCCCATTTATGTGGGTGTTGATTGGTAGTAAGTAGGTCTTCTGGTTCTTTTATTTCTTTTTGGCTTTTAAAATCTCTATGTCTCTATGTCTTCAGTTAGTGATGGAACATCTACAACTTGGAGGCAAGTTGTTCAGTTGGTTAATTCCTCTCACTTTCAGGAAATTCCTCCTTAGTTCTAGGTTTCCATCCATTGCTTCTTGGCTTGCCTTTTGGTGCTTTGGAGAATAGTTTGACTCCCGCTTCTTTAGGAGCTCCTCAACTATTGGAACAATGCTTTCGTTATCTCCCTGGTTCTTCTTTTCATTAGACTAGATTTACCCGCAACATTAAATCACCCCCTTGGTTGATTTTAAGAGCCCAGGACGATGAATTCTTCTACTCTTTCAATGGTCTCATTGTCTGTGGAGATTCTCAACCCTCCAAGTCATGGGTTGTCCCAAGGGTGCTTTTTTCTCAAGAGGCAACTGGACTTTCTGGTTTTTCTCGGAAGACGTTTCGCTTCTCATCCAAGAAGCTTCTTCCTCTCTGACTTGGATGGTGAGGGAAGGGAAGGGATGACCCTCCTTGCAGACAGCTGGTCATTTGCATCCTTTTTAGAGAGTCGTTGAGGCGGCTTGGAGGTTCGTCTGTGCCTTCAGGGTCACCTGAATAGCGCAAATGGGTGTGGAGCCTTCTTGGAACTGCAGAAAGGACTGTGTTGTAGACTGGAGATAGATGAGGTCATATCCACCCCTCTCTGTTGATGGAAAGCTGTTCAATTCTGGTCCCCTCTTTCAAACCGGCGGTCTTCTCTGCCCAAAATGTGGACTTTGTTGTCTTCAACAATGTGTCTCATTGTCAATCTGCACTCCCACCGGTACAGTTGTCGTTATCTTTATGAGGAAGACAAACCACATCATTTGATGTTCCCAGCCTCCTGTTTTTTGACGGGGAATGGCCGCAGCAGGACCTTCCTTCCATCTTTCCTTTCGTAGCTCCTGTCCTTTCCGCATTTTCTCATCGCCCTCTTTCCTCTCCTCTCCTCTCTTTCTCCCGCAGCTGGTGTTGGAGACCTACAACGTGCCTGAGCTGTCCAATGGAGTCAATTGCTCCTTTGGAGACCTGGCGGAAATGGACGGAGTGGTGTCAGGGAACAAGATCAAGTGCCTGTCGCCAGCAGCCAAAGAGGTCCCTAAGATCATCACGGAAAATGGTAAGCATCAATACCGTTAGGATCCCAAACGTCCTCCCTGGGTCAGGTCCCAAGAACCAAGAACAAGTGGAGTGACTTCTGAGTAGTTCCTTTATGGTTGTTTGTTTGCCTACAGACAGAATCTTGCCAGGCTAAAGCGAGGATCTACAATACTTTGTAGATCACGGGCGTCAGAGTCAAGGCCTGGGGCGTTTTTGCTGGCAGAGCGCTTGGGCTCCTGGGGGAAGGATAGTGCAAAGCCTCCCTTTGTTCCTCAGTCCAGGAGAAGGATGCTGCAAAACCCCCATTGGAAGGGACCTTGGAAGTCATCTAGTCCAACCCACCCAACCCCAAAGCAGGAAACCTTACACCAGCTCTGACCAATGACAGTCTAATCTCTTCTTAAAAGCCTCCAGTGGGCTTTTGCTGCAGGCAAAAGGAATCTACATTTATAGACTGCCTTTTGTTCATGCCTTCCCTAACACAGGGGACGGTGATGGGGGTTCAAATTTTTTTACTACCCGTTCTGTGGCCGTGGCTTGATGGGTGTGGCATGGCTTGGTGGGTGTGGCAGGGGAATGATACTACAAAATCACATCCCCTCTCCACTCCTGGGGGAAGGTTATTGCAAAATCTCCACTGCCTACCCACCAAGTGGTGGGATTCAAATAATTTAACAGCTGGTTCTCTGCCCTAATGATTTCTTCCAACAACCAGTTCACCAAACTGCTCAGGAAGTTAACAACCGGTTCTCCCGAACTGGTGCGAACTGGCTGAATCCCACCACTGCTCCCCATCCCGCTAACCTGCTTTCCAGTTCTCTTCTCCTGTGCAGGGCAACCAAAGGAGACCCAGCCGATCAGCTGGGACTCAATGGGAGGCAGAGAAGAGATGGGGACGGGGCCAGTTAGAGGTGGCATTTGCCGGTTCTCCAAACTACTCAAAATTTCTGCTACCGGTTCTCCAGAACTGGTCCAAACCGGCTGAATACCCACCTCTGCTTGGGAGCTTCTCATGATCTATATTCAAATTTAAAACCCTCCAGCAGGAAGAGGCTTGCAATTAAATCCAGTGCGTTAGTGGAGCTATCCCTAGGCAGCAGACGGGCAGCGGAAGAGGGTGCCCTCGTCCCCAAATATATTCAGGAGTGCACGAGCGCATCTTTGCGCATGCAGACACCGTGATGAGCTCTTGTCAAGTCCTCTTTGCCGTTGATTGATTAATGACTCTTTCGGGGGGGGAAGAAAATGAGGTGGATTAGCCAAACTGGGGTCAAAAGATTTTGCATTAAACACGCGCACACCTTTGTTCTAAAGTCTTAATAGGTCCCTGAGATGCGGCTGTCAGATGAAAGCGCAAGCCAGCATTCAGGTTGTCACCGAAAGAAGACAGGCCAGGATTAAAGGGAA